TGCTCTGCTCTTTTCACAGCAATGTTTAGTTCACTGATTCTCTCCTCCCTTCAAACTTTCCCAAAATAAGAAGGGGAGAGGAAAAAAAGGAAAAAAATCTTTCCTCTGAAGGTTCTCTTGACCATCCCCTCCTGTATGAGGCTGCTTCAGATTTGTATTTTTTCTGAGACAAAGAATACTCTGCCCCACAATCTTGGTTTTTCCTCTCTCCTTCCTGTACCATAGTGCAGCAGGCAATTTAGAAATAAGAAAATTTCTGCCAGTTGCTTACTGATCATGGACAACAAATTTGTGTATTTTTCAACCTTAACATTATGTATCCCCTCCTCTAGTTTCATCACCCTTTTCTTTCTTCCTTCTGTAAAACAAGCAAATAGACAAATTACAAAAAATCCTTTTCTCTGTTACATGGCTAGTTTGACATGTAACACAGAATGATATTTAAAATGAATGATATTTAAAAATGCCCCATATTCTGAGAGTTAACAGCTCAGCTTCCTCAGTGCTGGACTGACCTTCAATCACAGGCTGCTGAAATTTTAGCACAATTTCCCCAGTGAAAGCAAGTCCCACTTTGGCTCCTTCCAAAGGGGCTGCTCAATGAATAAGGACTGGTTCTGTTTGAAAAAACCTGATCTGCCTCTGTTGGGAGTGTAAATAATAATAAGCACGTTCTGGGTTTAATGCTATTGTAATCCTATCGAGGAGCACTTCATTTAAAGTTAATTTCAGCTATTTAAATTCACTTGGGTAATGACTTATTTATTATAACTCCAATTATTTTGATGCATCCCAGGATATTAATCCCTTTTGAAAAGCAAAATAATAAATGCCACTAGTTGTTCTACAGCAGATCTTAGATTACTTGTGCTATAATTATTTACATTAAGGATATTGTAAATGAGCCTACAAGAAACAGTTTCATTGTCTCCAATGCAGGATCAAAGAGAGTCTTGTAAGGTGGAGAGGAAAAAAGTTATTATAGTATGGAAAGATCTAAGATTCTTAATTTTAATGATTAAACCTATTGTATTTTTAAAAGCATTTCTAGGAAAAAGTGACTTTATGGTATGATTGTTACTCAAGTGAGCCCTATTGTTAGGATTAAAATGCACTTGAGTTTTTCTTTTTATTCAGATGTTTTAGCATTCAAGGAGATAATTTTTTGCACAATGATCAGCAATTATAACTATTGTTTTATCATCACTGCCTTGTTCTTTAGTGAGCTCTTGATGACATGACTTTTAGTATTCATGGCATGTATGATTCCTAGTTTGAGGCTTTTTTGTTAACATTTTAAGATTTTTTTTTTGGTTAAGATTTTAAGATGGGTTTTAGTTAGAGAAAGAATTCTTAACTGAATCTACTAAAGGATAAATAGTTTTAATTGCAATTGTAGCTGGAAACCAATTTGTCTAAAGTTTTAAGGAAAACTAGAGCATCTAGATTTGTGTTCCTAAACAGAAGCTGAGTTTAAATGGTGAATTCAGCTCTGAGTTTGAGTCTGGCTCTGGAGCCTTACACAGCCCCACAAAAATATTTTGTTTTTCAGTGTGGGATTTTTTCTGAGTGTGGGAAACCAGAGATAAAGAAAAACAGAGCAGGATGATTTGGACAGAAGTTGTCACATCCCATGGAGAGATTCAGTTTTGTGTAACTTCAGCCATTACTCTGTGTAGGGCAGGGAGATATGTGCCATTCCTAAACCCAGCTTTTTGCTCATTGCACTGCAGGAGGATGCAGAGCTGTCCCTGTTCTGTGGGATAACCAGCTCAGACAAGAAAATTGTAAAATTTTAAAATTTTAAAATTGTAAAAATTGTAAAATTGTAAAAAAACCTTGTAACTGGGATCAAAGAGTCCACCGCACCTGCCAAGCTGTATTTGTAAATGAGCTCCTTGGCTCAAAGCCAGCATAAATCTGGAGGCTGAAGATGGCAGCTGCTAAAGATATCCAGTACAGGAAAAGGATTTTATTCAGGGTATCAATATATTACCTTTCAAATAGTGAAAGCCATTCAGTAAAATTCAGACTTTCTAATAACTAATTCTGTTAAATTAAAGCATCCCAATAAATGGAAGCTTTGTCAGCCTAGTGTTTAAAACTCTCATCAAGAGACTTATTTATTTGAAAAATTTCTTGAATAGAAATTGAAACTATTAATTCCAAATTTGTGTTCAGTAAAATATATTTTATGCTTCATGAATATTGTGTGCTTTCTTAGTTTTAGCCTAAGCTTTTACAAGTGAAATAAATTCCTTTCCTCAACTCTGTTCATCATGAGAAAATATAAATCCTGTCTTTTATGAAGCTGTCATAGTTCCTAAGAAATATTAGGCCCTAGGGCCCACTAGTCCATTTATAACATTCTTCATGTTCCTACAATCTTTTTTTTTAACAATCCTTTTGCTTGTTTGGTGACTTTTACTCTTCCCCTTCTCATTTAATGAAATTCAATGTTATGTCCTTATTCTGGTTTGTTTTCAAACACAACTTCATAGAACATACTAAAAAGCAGAGGTTTAGTATTTTTAGTTTTTTAAAGGGAATATAGCCATGTTTATCACGTTGTCTGTATTCTTAATTTTCTTCTTTTGCATTTTTTGTTTGCTTAAATGTTCTCTGAAAGATGAGTTGAAAAAGAACCCAAGCTATGTAAGGCTGAATTCTCAAGTAATATTTATATCCCTGAGGAAGCTGAGAAATACATACTGGGATTTTAAAAAATGCACAAAGGCACTTATTTTTTTTCTTAAATATTCTCAAAATTCTGGTTATGCTGTTTGCAGAGCTGATGAAGCAATGCTTAAATGCTTAGTATTAATTAATTAATAATTACTTTCTTAATAATTTAAGAAATTATTATTATTAACATTATTTTTTATTTTATAAATTAATTATTAATTTGTATTTTTTCAATCCCTTCTTTTCCTGGCTCATTTGCTCAGGACTGTGCTTGTATCCAGGCTTGTTATGGCTAGATCCTTCTTCTCAGAGGAAGGGGAGCAGAGCTGTGTTCTCCAGGGAATCTGGGGGAGTTTCTCAAGCTGCTCTGACTGATGAATTAACTAACATAGCTCAAAGTAAAAGGTGGTTTGGAGTCTGGGGTGTTGGTGGTGTGGGGTTTTTTTTACCTAATTTTTTCCCTTTGATTTTAGTTTGAGCAGTTGATACCAAATGCAGATGAGATTCCTGTCGCCTAACTCCAGCTATCTGAAAGTTAAGTGCTCGTTTTCAGCTAATTGTCTAGACACTATCACCGAGGAAGAAATAGAGGCACTTCAGGAGTGATTAATCCCATCCTAAAATAGATGTCTAAGCTGGGATGAATTGGAAGAAGCTTCTTCTTCCACCAAATAGCAGGAGAGCACTGACAGCTGGTTAGACACAGGCGCTGGGGACAGGTGAGATGGTCCCCTCTTCTCTCTCTCTGTGCTTTCACTGAATTTGGGATAGAGTTCCATCCTTCAGTGTTTCTGGAAGAGTTTGGCCATGTGAAACAGATGCTAGTATCCAATCCAGCAGATTCAGGAGTGCAGAAGGCAGAAATTGATGTCCCCAGTTGCACTGGCCCTGTGCATGGGCAGCCTGAGCTTTGCTGGGTTTGTCTAATGGTGGCTGAAAATACAAAAGCTTTGCCCAAATTCCAGGCTGGGATCAGCCAGGCATCAGCATCCACCCCCAGGGAAGGCTCCACTTGGTGGTTCCTCTGCACCAACAGTGTCACAGTGACACTTCAGAACCCTTCTCTCACATTCTTTGTGTTCTGGAACATGGATATTCTGACTGAAACACAAATTAAGCACACAGTGTGTGTGCAACATAACTCAAAAGTAACTGGGACGGAAAGCATCTCAAACTGGCAGAAACATTAGACAACTTTAATACCATATAAATGGTTTTCTCAATAAAATTCAGGATTGATATAATTGATTAGAACACTAATGAAGGTTGAAACTTTCCTCAATAAAAGAGAGTAATTAGTAACACTTTTACAGTAGGAATCCTGTGCAGTAATTTTTATTTCCATGGTTTTTTTGTGAAATGAAGTGAATATCCCATTTAACATTAAATTCAGCAAAAATGTTTCTATTTGGAGGTATACTTTAAAACAGAAACACGCCAGTTGAAGGCAGTAAGTAGACTTTAATTTGCCTCTCCAGAACTAAGGTTCTGCTGAATGTTTTTCATAATTGGACAATAATATTTTCCAGATGACAATGAGGAAGTGCAAACCAGGCATTTCTGGGAAATAGGATGTCACCTCTATGAAAATTTGCTTAAGAATTTAAATGATTTTAATGTTTTTTAAGCCTGCACTGATCCTGGGCTGAGATAGGAGAAAATAACACTGTCAGATTCTCATTGAGGTCTGCCCATCTGTGAAATATTTTCCCTGGATTTTGGTAGCAATGTAAGTATGCCAGTGGAAAAAATTACTGAGTTTCTATGAAGCATTTTGGTTCTTGAACTACTCATTGCTTTTTTTCTTTTCCCTTTGTTACTCTGGTTCAAGGAAAGGAATACCCAGGGACTGGAGTTTCTGCTAGATTGTTATCAGAGCTTTATCTTAGTCATATTTAAAAGCACTCATACTCATTATGCTTACATTTTACTGATACCATCTTTACATAAGAACTGCAAATCCTTAAAGCAGGCACAGAAGTCTGTGCTGCAAGACCAGTTTCTTTGCTTATTGCATAAGTTACAGTGAACACAGAGCAGTCAGGAAATTGCATTAATTGCATGATCATGGTCCACAATGCAGCATCTTTCCTCATCTAGCTGTTCCTGCAGCTGTACAAAACAAGATGCTGTAGATCTTTCAGAACCAGAAGATTCCTCTGTTTTACTTTCATTAGGACATCACTTTTGCTACTATTCTGATACTTGTTGTTCTTTATTAAGGACATATTTGTTGTTGATGATTTTGTTCTTGTTTAATTAAGAGCATTGGTTGTTCTTTAATTAGGAACTTCATAAAGACATACACATCATGGTTTATTTTTTCATCCTTTTAATAATAATAATAATGATTAAAAAAACCTTGTTGCAATTACTTTTCCATTTATTTTCATGGTGAATTTTTACAAAGGGATTTCCCAAGCAGATTTCTGGAGCTCTAATGGAGTTGAAAGAGCAGCACAGCAGAATGGTGAACATAAACCAACCACACAGAGAAAACAAGGCACTGCTAAGACTGTACTAGTAACAAACCACCAAGAGGTTGTTGACACATTAAAAAGTGAACTTCTCAGCAGGCCCTAGAGCAGTGCATGGCTGTGGGGCTGTGTGCCTGGCAGCCCTGGCGTGTCCCTCTTGCCGTAGGTGTTGGAGCCCACGTTGGTGGGGGGGTACAGGGCGCCCACGCTGCCGCTGGAGCGCACCAGGAAATCGGCCAGGCGCTGGGTCACGCATGTGGCTGTGTTGCACTTCCTCTTCTCCAGCTGGTGGCTGCCAGGGTGGGCACAGAGAGCCAGGGTTAAGCCAAGGGATGAGCAATGGAGTGGTGGATTTGTGTTCCCCCCAGATGAAGGGAGAAATGATGAATCTGACTCTATTGCCAGTCAGGGCCTGTGCACAAATCACAAACAGGATGGGACTGCTGAGGAACGTGCCTTGAGCTGTTTTATTTTCCAGCATCAGCCTCATTACATGGTTATGACAATAGGAAGATGCCAGCAGCTCACATCCCAGGCAGCAGACAAAGAACTTAATGTTACAACTCACTTTAAAAGTTTTTTGACCAATCACACAAAGCAAAAGCACATTGACAGTAGTTCCATCCAACCACTATAAGCACACGTACCTTTGGTTAAACAATGCTTGCTTATTTCAAATAAAATACCTGCTTGTAAGCCTTAAAATACAATGCACAGAGCTCCATTATTAAGCTTAAAGCTTCCTAATATCTTGCTAGATAAACTTTTCTGTAGCTTAGGGAGTTATTCCAGACAAGCGTTAATACACAGACTATTGTTCTATTTGTCCTTACTTTTCTACATTTCACATAATTTTTCTGCTCACCTATCTCATGGCTACTGCTTAGCTCCAATCACAGTTCTGCTGTCTCTGAGGCCTGCCTTTTTCAGATTTCCCAAAACCCTTTGATTTTATGGATTCCCACATGGCTCCATGTTCTCAGAAGGTTAATTTATTGTTTATGATACTATATTATATTAAAGAATGCTATACTTAAGAATACAGAAAGGATACTTACTGAAGGCTAAAAAGATAATAATGAAAACTCGTGATTCTTTCCAGAACCCTTACACAGCTTGGCCCTGATTGGCCACCGAGTCAAAACAATTCACATAAAACCAATGAAAAAATGACCAGTTGGATAAACAATCTCCAAACACATTCCAAAGCAGCAAAAGACAGGAGAAGCAAATCAGATAATTATTGTTTTCTTTTTTCTCTGAGGCTTCTCAGCTTCCCAGGAGGAAAATCCTGGGTGAAGGGATTTTTAAGAAAATATGAATGTGATAATCGTGTGCGCTGCTTCTCACAGCCACTTCAGCTCTGCTAATGTGGGAGTTCTTTTAATGTGTGCACAAATACAGGAACATTAGAATCTTCCCACCACCTACTTTGTGCCTGAAAAAAATCCTTGTGCTGGGTGCTATTATCAGTTTTAATGATGGGGGTTATTCAAATGCAGAGACCTGAACAGTCATATGCCGTTTTTATTGATATCCTGCACAGCAGTTTATGACAGCCAGAAAACCTGTAATGATAGTATAGGTAAGACACTAAGTGAAAGCAATGACTAAATGTTTAACTTGCAGCTGAACTTCTAAATCTATTTAGAGCTCTTGCTGATATCATGAGGATTACTAACATAATGGTGATCACTAACATTCATTTAGTTCTCATGTTTCCACAGAATCATACCCTGCTCTCCCTGAAGGGACTGGTAATATTCCAGTCCAGACCAAGTGGGCTAACCCCCAAGGCTTTCTCCCATCTGCACCACATCTCGTGAGAGGTACCTGTGGTGTTTGTGAGGGTCCCCAGGACGAGGTGAGAGATGAGAATCTGACTCCAAGTTCTCAGGAGGCTGATTTATTATTTTATGATATTATATGATATTATATTATATTAAAGAATGCTATACTAAAACTATACTAAAGAAAGAGAAAGAATACATCAGAAGGCTTCACAAGAATGAATAATAAAAACCTGTGACACCTCAAGCCTCGATACAGCTGGACCATGATTGGTCATTAAATTAAAACAATTTACATGTTGGATAAACAATCTCCAAATCACATTCCAAAGCAGCAAAACAGGGAGAAGCTAAAGCTTCCCAGCTTCCCAGGAAAAGAAATCCTGGTGAAGGGATTTTTCTGAAAATATAATGGTGACAGGCAGCAAAACCACTTAGGATGGTTTTTACCTCTGTCTCTAGCACTTAGCTCTGACTAAACTGCCACATCTTTTTTGGAACAAAGAAGCAACTTGAAATATCTGTTGTGGTGAGAGAGAATCCTTTGTTGAATGATACTTTAAAAGAGTGTCCAAGGAGGACTCCGTATCTAAAAATAACATTTTATGATCTGAACCAACAGACCATTTACAGAACTCCATGTGAAATTTATGTAGCCTGAGGGTTTTTTTTTTTTTAATTGTAATGAAATGGTTAGCTTCAGAGAGCTTGGCTTATCAAATTTGTTCCTTAGACTGCTGTGTTGTTCCTTCAGACAGAAATACTTGCTAGCTGAGATTGCCTACTGAGTTACTGCTTATTTTATTGGACTTCTTCATGCTGATATGGCATGAGTTGGACACCAGTTTGTGGCTAAAATTTACTGTGAAGAGCAACAATATCCCAGTTTCAAGCTCTGAGAAGTTACCGATATGCTTCTTTGCTTACTGATTATTAAATCTATCATCTAAAATGTCATATAACCTTTGAAGTTATTTGTGTTGATCTGAGAAACCAAGTGGAATTGAGCTGTGAAAGGAATGTCTGTATTATACTGGTTCTTCATTAGTAGATATGCAGCAATTTTTTGGCAATTAATATTTTAAATGTGTAATTGCATTAAAAGAAAATTGTTGGACAGGGCTTTATATAACCTCTAATTGACTTTCTACTGGTTTTGTCAAGCCTTTAACATACAAGGTTCCAACCGCAGCTGGTTTTCCCAGAGATCCTGCTTTGTTTGTGGAGACAGAATTCTCTTTTCCATTAAAGCTACAAAATCAACTTGAAAACTCCAGCTCTTCCTGAAGCTGCTGGGTTTCTATCTCAGGTCCAGCCTGGCTGAACCCACCAGCCCTTTAGCTTTAAATGAATATTTGCTGCCAGGAGACAATTCCCCAGTGAGAGATGGTTCCAGGCCCCAGAAAAGCAGATAAGGCACACCACGCTCCTCAAGGTGATGCCTTGTGTTTGAATATTACAGTTGTTTTGGGGAGGTTTGTATTTATTTTTAAGTGATAGCTGTAAAAATGTGAGAACTTCATCTCTGTTATAAAAATACTTTTGACAGTATAAAATTTTTCATATAATAGTATTTTTAAAATATATATTCAAAGAGAGAGAGGAACAGGTAACATATATATATATATGTATTTACTGAATTAATCTATAACAGAATTGACATTGAAAGAAATTCACTCAAAAGCCTGACAAAACTAGATGAACTTGAAGCTTTCTTCCCACCTTGATGATTCTGTGAAAAGTGGAATAGTTCAGTGCTGCTTATCTTTTAGTAAAAATTGCTAATAAATCTTGAAATGGTTTTTATTCATTAAAAAGTTGCCTGAAATTGAATTTATTAATTTATAAATGAGAATGTGTTTCAGACAAGTAAAATTCTATCAGAACCAATTTCTTCTTTTCCTTCTTCCCGTGATTAATTAAATTAATGTTTCATTCTGTGATTTAAAATTTGCTTAATTACTGAAAGCATTTATGCTCTAAAATAATTCCATTCTAGCAGAGCAGTAGTATTATTAAGAAGGGTATGTTTTCTTTTTCTTTCCCTCTTCAGGCTTGGAAATCTGACAAATTTTTTAAAAAGGAAGGCACTTTCAAAATACACCTTTCTTCTCAAGGTAATGTAGTATTTTCAGCCTTTGTAATTTATGAAAGTGTTATAATTGCAAAGCAATGAAATGATTTGTAACTTTGTCCCTGGATTTCACTTTCTACCCTGAATGCTTTGATCTTTATGTTACAGAAAAGCTAATCTTTATGCTTACAGGCAACCTCTATTTAGCAGAAGTATTTTAGTATTAGTAAACTCTATCTAGTTAGAAATATTTAGTATTTTAATAATGAAATAATTAATAATATAAATAAAAGTAATAATTAAAATATATAATAATAATATAATTAATAATAAAAATATTTTTTTGAGAAAAACAGCTGAAGTCTCTCAAGTAGCAGAATATCACTGGGACAAAGTTTGGTCCGTGGTTCAATCTGATATGGCTGGAAGAAACAAGGGAAAATCAATACCTTTTTGTCTTTGCTGCTGGTTGTTCTGGCATCTCCTCACTAAGTCCTGGGAGTGTATTCTGTGACATTACAGGCAACATCCATCCTTGTCTCTTGGAAGTACCATCAGATAGATCATCAGCCACAGACAGTAATCTTTGAGCAACAATAAAACAGTGAGCTTGAATAACTCTATTTTTATAATATTTGAGACATGAAAGCAAAAGCAACTCACGCAAATAATCATGTTTATTTCCCTAAAGGGAAATAAACATGATTATTTGTTACTCACCTCTCAATAGGTGTAGCTTCCAAACAGCTCAGAGTGACAGAAAGTGCAATGAAGAAAACTGTCAGCTTTAGGTTGCACATCTTTCCTGCCAAACTTTCTGCAAAGAACAATGATTCAAAACTGAAAGCTGACCCAAATACTCCCCAGCATGTCCTGTTATTGATGCCCATTCTGTTCTAAATCAAGATCAGCTAGTCTTTTTCACTGGCTGGAGTGAGAAAAATGATCCCCTCAAGTTTAGTGACACAACTCAGTCTCAGAAATACAGCTCTCAGGAATAAATGCTCATTTTTCACCCAGTAGTTTCAATCCTATCCCTTACCTCTGGTTTGCATTTCCTGACACTTCCCAGTCTCAAATTCTGGTCCCCAGTGCAGTTTACTTTAAAGTTGTCTTAGTTGCCTTTACCTGAAAAATGCTCTTGATTAATAATATTGTGCTTTTTAAAGCACATCTGTTGCACTGCAGGTAAAGTAAGAGAAAAGGGAAATTATTTACCTTTTTGTGGCCACAGATCCAACTGGAGAAGCCAGCGAGCCCTCTGGGTTAGCAAGAAGTGTGCATGCAACAATTCCACGCTTGCACCTAGCTCTGGAGGATCCTTTTCCCTCTTCCTTTCTGCCTCTTATATATCCTTGACACCTTTCTCAGCTCTGACATCAGGCAGCACAGAGAGACTGTCGTTAGTTCCAGTGCCTGTAGACAGAAAGTGCCCCAGAGAGGAGCAGAGGCAGGTGGGTCATTATTGCACTAGAGCATCAGGAAATATTCACCTGGGCTGTGCAGAATGCCCTGCTGAAGGTGCTGCAGTAGCATCCTGCACATCACAAATGTAGCCTCAGTTTTACAGCTCTGATGAGCTGCTGAGGTAATATTCCCTGTGGGTGTTTTCGAGGGCTAAATAAGGTAACAAAAGTTACAGAGCAAATGAAACTCCAGGCCACTGGTAATTGAAATGCAGGAAAACATATTTCAGGAAAGATGGAAGAGTTAAAAATGTGGAGGTTTGCTGCAGAATATAGATCAGGAGGAAAAGGTGTCTGAAGGGAGAGAAGCTGTACGACGAATAAGAAAAGAGTGAAAGTTGTTTAAATTGACAGCTAGAGTTCTCATTCAGGGTAACATCGTAGAAATCATGTACATTTTACAGTCAGGTCTAAATGTGAATGAAAATTCTGTCACTATGAATGTAAAATCTCATGTTTTACTAACACAGGTGGATTCTTTGTCGTGTGTGAAAATTGAGTCAATCAATACTTTTCAGGAGGCAAAGACTAGAATTGAAAAGCCAGGAAATGTCAGAATAAAACTACCTGTGGAAATTAATTTCTCTAGTATGCATTGAGTATGGTTCAGGGAAAAATGTACAGCTTTTAATAGACTAAATTCAGTGTCAATGGATTACCTAATTGCAGCTTTTCAAGGATACAGATTAGAACCATTTAGCTCTGATTTCAGTGGAAATTAGGCAAATCAATTTTTTCACCCTCTATTTCCTTAGGTTTCGCTAGGTACTCCAATGCCTTTGGAAAACAGGTATTTAATTTTAATAAAGGATAAGGTTCTGGCACAAAAGCTGAGCAAAAGTTCTGTGTGATAAGAAGTTCCCATGTGCATCTTTTCTACCCCCAAGAACACAAATTCAGAGTTCAGAGCTGCTACAGTGCCAAGAGCATTGCCTGAGCTGGAAACCCCCTTCTTTGTTGGTTTAGTCTGTAGTAACAGCTTTTCCTTGCAATGGCTCAAGTTCCAGTGCTGGCTCACTTCAGGCTACTCGAGGTGAATGCAGAAGGAATATTTAGCTGGGATAGTAACTTCTCAACTTGATTACAACAGTCTGCAAATGAGGCTCTAGAAAGTGACAAAATATTTTGTTGATTGTTGTAGATGTTGCTTTGGGGTTTTTTGGTGAGTTGTGGTTGTTTTTTGGTTTTGTGTTTTTTTTTTTTTTTTTAAGGGTGTCATTGCTGGATATTTTTTCTCTGTTTTTATATGATCATATACTTCTTTTCACCAGGTTCCTGTTCTTCCCTCTCTGGATGGACAGTCCCAGTGTAAGAGAAGTAAGTGCAGTATTTTATCTTCACCAAGACAGTAAGTTCTGTGCCACATCTGAAACAAGTTTATCTCTCCAAAGACTCACTGTGGAATTTGACTATGATGAAATAACATTCTGGTGTTAATTTCACTGTGGCAGTTTCACTCCTCTGAAATGAAGGCATGATTAAACCCCTTTTACAGAGGGTGTATTGTGCTGAAAAACAATTATACAGGTACTCTGCCTGGGGATTGACATCAGCCAATCTTCCCCGTTTGGATGTTGAACTTGAAAATGCCTTATTATGCTTTTTCCTGGGTGGAAAGAGATCTGTGTGCCACTGACACTCAGCAGAGGTCTTTATGCTCAGCCTGTGCAAGAGATGTTGTTTCAAATCCTGAAAAACAAGGGATAGATAAATTTGTGTTTAAGATTTTAAAAGACTTCACTCAATACTCAAAATCTCTTCTGTTTTAAGACATTTAAGTGAGTGGTTTCTTTATCAAACTTGAATCAAGCTATAGCTCGAGAGAAATAAAATACCAATTTTCGAATAAATATTGATCTCAAATTCCAATTGTAGTTGTCCTGCAAAGCAGACTGGGGGGGAGTCACTAATGCTTTGAGAGAAGAACAGAAAAGCTGCTTCTTGAGTGCATTGTGGAAATGAAAGTGGGCTCATGATGTCCCAGGAGCATTGCCAGCCTCCTGGGCTGCACAGCATCTTGGCAGGGTCAACAAGAAGTCTCTCCAGCAATTAGTCACATGTAAAGTTAACAAAAGTAAGGTTTTGCAGCTCCTGCTACAAGTTCACTTAAGCAGGAGTAGTGTTTTCCTCCACAAACAGGATTGGAATTTTAAATTGTGGAATCTCTTTGACAGCAGAACAGCTCATAACTAGAATTTCAAGATGCAGGCAAGAAATACTTTACAGTCAGTGCCATTCAATGAGTGGTTGGAAAACTATTTTTACCACTGACAAAGTTCCTTAACCTTGATCTTAGAAAAAACCCTTTATTCCTCTGCATGACGACATATAGCTGTTGACAACATAGAGTTCTCTGACATGTGTTGTATCAGCCTGAGCAAAAAGAGAATCAAAGAAAATCAAGTGTTCTTATTAAAGAAATCTGAGATCACTTCTATTCTGAGTAGTAATGGTAATTTTAGATATTTATACTGCTGTTTAAGTCTTTATGCAAAGATTTGTCTGAAGAATTGTGCCTATAAGAGGGTGATACCAGAGCTGAGGTTCAGAAACAACCCAGCAGACATGCTTTCCCAGCTCCCTGATTCCTTCTGGAAGCTGCCTACACAGTGTCTGGAACTGCAAAATGCTGCCCATGCTCTGCACTGGCAGCAGAGGAACAGGGAGCAGCCTTGTCTCAAGGGTCTCCTGTTCCCCTGTCCCCCTCAGGACATGTGGGACCTGTGTCACTCAATGCCAGGTGAGCAGAGACCATCCTAGAACCTGTTTTCTATGCAGAAGTCTAAACCAGCCTAGATGTCTGTGCCTGTTTATCCTTCCTGCCTACAAAAGCAGCCTTGGGTGACTCCTCAGGTGCAGATATTTACATTGTGGGTGCCTAAATGCAAATTAAATTAATTTCACCAGGAGTGCTTCAACTCTCTTACTGAGAGAGATTGAAGGCTGTCTCCCTCTTTCTCACATCTTTTTCTTAGGCTGCTTTTGGCACCTGCTGGGCAGATGGTTCCCACTTTTAATGGCTGACTTCTACATTTGCTTAAAAACATTAATAAGACACGTTAAGACTCTTGCTAATGGATGTGTCTCCCCCATTTGGGAGTGTCAGAGACACATTCCCTGGTGCAGGCACTTCCCCAGCTGCTGCACAGCTGTGTGAAGCAGAGGTCTCCAGTAAATTAACCTGTTGCTCAGTTACCAGGAGCTGGAAGTGTGGGAATAACTCGTGAATTAGTTGGCCTGTTGTACCAAAATGGAGAAAGGAAAGGTTTAGTCACTAACTTGCAATTTAAATTTCAACTATTTCAATACTTATTTCAGTTTTTGGAATAAACCAGCAATTAGAGCAGCAGCAGCATTACCAGTGTAAACATTCCCAGTAATGACACAGAGCTGTGCCTGTGTCACAGCTTGTAGCTGCTATGTGAGCTGAGCACAATGTTTAATGCAATTGTTTTTTAGCCATTTTAGTAGCCTTTTCAATCTTTTTTAATTAAGCTGCAAAAGTAAAGCAAAAAAAAAATCATAAAACCAAAAAGTTAAGCATAAAAAAGAGGTTTCATTTATAGTGCCAACACCTCTGAAAAAGTCAAAGTACCCTATATGGCCAAATCTGAAATTGTAAGAGTAAATCAGGTTTCTGCTGTCATTTTATAAGTCCTAAAATATCTAGGATTGTCCTGGCTATCAGGACACTATTGCAGCACTATTGTAACTAGTTGGTCTCTTCCAACCTAGTCATTCTGTGAATTATGTGAACTAAAAACTATGTGGAACATCAGAGGTAGTGTAAAATCACTCTAGACAAGTGATAAGGATAGGAACCTTGGTTGCTCCCTAAATTTTTACATTTGGATGGCAAAGCCTGAAAATTTTGGCTATAATGCTCTCTTCCCAGTATTTCTTGCTTGGTGCTGTGTTGTTGAATACCACAATGTTTGTACTTTCTGGTATGTGTGGAATTGGGATTTTCTACTGTTAGCACTTAAGCTGTAACTGCTTTGTTCAAATAGTGTTTTATCAAATATGCTTTTGCTAGCACAACTTTCTTTGTTACCCCTGCTGCATGTGGGCCATTCCAGTGCTGATAAAAATACAAAGAGCTGTTCCTGTTGATCCCAAAAGTGATGTTAAACCTGAGGAAGAAATATGTAAGAAGCAGCTGAGAGGTAAGAGGTGGAAAGTTACTCATTTCTCCCCCAGAGGAAAAAAAGATGATTCAGAAATAAACAGTGTCCATCCATGGGATTGATGAGCAAATGAAAAGGAGTAATTTAGGTAGTCAGGAGTATTTTAAACCAACTTTTATGATGTATTTTGTTACTCAGCTCACGCCATTGACAGGGCAATGACGTAGCCTGCAAGGACTAATGATTGCTGTGAGAATGAGCTCAGCAGCCTGTGCTGAATCAGTGCCTGTAGCTGGGAATCCCTCAAACAGGGGAAATAAACTCCATGTTTAGATCAGAAAAGGCAGAACTGATAGCCCAGTGGTTAGGGAGTTATAGTTCCTATGCCATTCTTATAGTTTATAGAGTTTTAGTTGCATCCAACAATTTACCTCTGAATACAACAAAAGGTTTACCTTTTGATTTTCTTTTCCCCTGTCTCTCCTGCAACCTGTTTCCAGAAGTTAAAAGCAAAAGCAGGACTCCCTTTTGGTTACCAATGTCACTCACAAGGGTTCTAAACAGTGCTGATGGTACATGTGAATATGCAATAGAATTACTGTTCTTCCTTTCTGGTAAACCAGAATTATCCTCAGTCACTTTCTATGGCATTTAATGTAGAAAA